GTGGGTGTTACCCACATTCTGCTTTTCCACTCATCCATTGATGGCCACCTGGGATAGGTTCATGGTTTAGCTCTTTCTAATTATGACATTAAGAATGGGCCTATGCAAACATCTCTTCCATATTCTGCTTTCAAGTTCTTTGATTCTGTAATATAACTGGGTCATTTGGCAATTTCATTCTTCAGTTTGGGGAGAACTCCCGTAGTGTTTTCCATAGCAACTGGTTCATGCTACATTTGTACTAACAGTTCATGAGAATATCAATGACTTCACATCCTGACTTATGTGCACCGCAATTTTGATTTGCATATTTGATAGTGATGTTGACTATCTTCATGTACTTACTGGCTATTTTCATAACTTCTTTGAATAAATGTCTGTTCAAGTTTTGTGTGCATTTTGAATCTGATTAGGTTATGTTGTTCTCAGGATTCTCTATATTCTGGATATTATTATAAAAGCTTGGATTTGTAAGGGTTTGCTTTGGTCCTAGGCATTGTGTTCTCATTCTATTCTTAAACTAGAACTATTTTTATTTATAAAAATAGATGTTTAAAGTATGTAATTTTCAAATTTGCCTTCATGAATGTGGAGTCTTTATTCATCAAGAAACTTTTCAACATTTATAATTACCTTAAATATGTGTGGGTAAGTACTTACAATGTCTTACATTTTGAAATTACATTTTGAAAATCGTAAACAATCTTCTTAAAGTTCACTGTAGGCCCTGAAGTTAATATGGCCTTTTATATAACAACAACAACAAAAAACCAACAAGATAATAAATTGATTACTGTTCCTCAGCCATTTTCTTTTTTTTTTAATTTGCTGACTCTGGGACTTAAACTTTTAGTGCTTTATGTTCATAATTGACTTTAATCTCCTCAAGTCTGGAGCTCTACTACTTACACTATACCACCACTTTTGGCTTTTTGCTGGTTAACTGGAGATAAAAGTTTCACAGACTTTTGCATCTAGTTTGGCTGTGAACCTTGATCCTCAGAACTCAGCTTCCTGCTAGGATGTGATCCAACAGTGTCCAGCACTCATTGTGATTTTTAAGAAGAATGCAACTAACAGAAAAATTAGACATACTATACTATGAGTAAAAATGGGTTTCATAAAAGTTCATCCCTCTATTATATTCCTTACCTAGGTCCCTCTCTTTTTCTAATAATTGGTACTGTAATTCTAGTAGATGTAATGTACTGCAAGTCTTCATATTTTTCTCTTTAGTTATTTCTTTTTCATTATTATTATCTCTCTAATTTAAATCTTTGTTGGATTCTAAATTTTTCATTCACCTTTCAATCCTGTAGGGGGTAATGAGCCAACTAGGAGCCAGGAGATACTTCTAAGAATTTTGTGTTGATAAATGCTACTGGCCACATTAAATTTTCCTTTCCTTGCTGCGTTTAGCAGGCGACAGGTCCTGTGTTTCTTTGTGTTAATGAGTACTACTGGAGTAATATAGAAATGTGTTACTTTGAATGTGTGACCAATCACCCTAAAACCTGGTGACTCAAAAGAACAATAATTTACTATTTCTCATGAATGATCGACTGAGTAGTTCTTTTCACATACATGGTGCTTTCACATGACCATATTCAGTTAATAACTACTGAGCTAGAAGGCCGAGGGAGTTTGGTACTGGCTACGGACTGAGATATTTCATTCTTCATGTGGTATGCAATTTCACATGGTTCTTCTAGCAACATGTCCTGGACACATATGTAGGAAAATGTAAGAGAACAAAAGTGGTTAATTTTGGCCTGACATAGTGCTCATTCTACTGAATTCTTTTGTGCAAAGGAAGACACAGGGGGTAGGGAAACGTGACTCAAAGTTAGGAGAATTGGCTCCTCCTCCTCCTCCTTTCCCCCATCCCACTCCACCTCCTCCTTGGTGAGATTAGGGTTTTGAACTCAGAGGCTCAAACTTACTAGGCAAGCACTGTGCAATGAGTCATGCCCCAAGGATTATTGCTTCAGATATTTATTTTTCAGATAATTTCCCACACTTTTGCCTGGGCTGGCCTCAGACCATGATCTTCCTATTTCTGTTGCCCTACTACCTGGAACCACAGATGTGTTTCACCATAAATGTCTCTTTGTTGTTTTTGTTGTTAGTGGTGATTTTATCAGATAGGGTCAACTAACTTTTGTCTGCACTGGCCTCAAATTGTGACCCTTGCTGGGTGCTGGTACCTCCCTCATGTAATCCTAGCTACTTAGGAGGCTGAGATCTGAGCAGAAAAGTCTGTGAGTTTCTTGTCTCCAATAACCAATAGAAAACAGAAGTGGCACTGTGGCTCACAGTAGTATAGCACTCTTCTTGAACAAAATTGCTCAGGGACAGCACTCAGGCCACAAGTTCAACTTCTATGATCAACAAAAAATAAGAAGAAAGAAAAAGAAAAGAAAAAATTATGATCCTCACTAAAAGCTAAGATTACAGTTATGCACCTCATGACTGCCTTTTCCTACATTTCTTGATGATCTTACTGATTATTTGACTGAAGTTCTCTTGCTCCATCTGAATAGGAATTATGGGTAGGTAAGAATATACTTTCCACAGGACTTGCCATAGTATGATCTAGTCAATGAGGCTGGAGCAAAGGCCTGAATACAAAGATGTTTTGGAGACAGAACTTCAGGACTTAAGGAAAATTGGGTAATGAGAAATGAAGATGAGAAACCAGAAATGTGGGTTAAATAGAATGTATTCGCTGAGACAATAAATTAATTGACATGTGCCTATTGCATCTTCATATAAATCTCAAGTGAGATATTGACTTCTCATTTTCATAGTCCCTATTATATAGATTATTTAAACATTAAAGATTTAACATATTCACTTACAATATATAGAAGAAGAAAATACTTCATGATCTTTGTTGTGATGGCAGCATTTGATTATTTATAGTGTCAAGGTATTTCAAGATTCTTATAATTTAGTAGGAATGCTTAACATATTTATGATTTATTCTCTGTATGGAGAAATATCATAATCTTTTTTATCAAATTTGTAGTAAATTACTTGGTTACTGAAACTGTCTAAGGTGTTGGGCCCTGGGATATGTCTGCGAGACTTTTACTCTTACCATTGAATTTATTACCTATTTATTTTTGTGAAGTGCTTAGTTCCTTTTTTTCTTTCTTTTTTTCTTTCTTTCTTTCTTTTTTCTTTCTTCCTCTCTCTCTCTCTCTCTCTCTCTCTCTCTCTCTCTCTCGTCTGGCGTGGGTCTTGAATGTTGGGCCTGGGCACTGTCCCTGTGCTCTTTGGCTGAAAACTACTGCTCTACCACTTGAGCCACAGTGCAACTTCTGCTTTTCTGGTGGTTAATTGGAGGTAAGAGTCTCTGGACTTCCCTGCCTGGGCTGGCTTTGAACCACGATCCTCAGCTCTAAGCCTCCTGAGTAGCTAAGATTATAGGCGTGAGCTACCAGTGCCCAGCTGTTCTTAGTTTCTTAAAGGCTTAATTTCTGCATTTATAAAATAGAAATAATATTTCTTTTTTGTTAGGAGAATCACATGTGGTAGTTCAAAGCCCTTAAAATACTTCCTGATACTAAGCAAACTTAATTCAGTTTATGTTATTATTATTATTTCATACTAAGATGGATTCCATTGGGGAAAAAATCTTTTTTATTTGTGAATGGTGGTAAGTTGCTTGATATAATTCTAAACTTGAGCTTATAAATTAATCTCCTATATTTATCATCTATTTTTATTAACCCAGTGTCTGAGTGTTAATGTTTTGCAGGAATCACAATCCACTTTTGACCATTTCCAGGATTGTGGTGTGTTTCTCATGTCGAAAACTTTTAACTCCATGGACTATTTCTTTTCCCCTCCAACAAGAGAGAAGAATGACTTTCACCCCTATTTATCTGAAATGCATATGTAATGCCCCTTCTAAGTGGGTAACTCTTCCATTGTGTGAGAAATGGCTGTGGAAATGTTTCTGTGACATGTTAATAATTTTATCTGATTTGTCCATGCAGTGTGCTGACTATATTCTTATTTATCATAGAGTGACTTTCTTCATTACGTAGCAATTTCCTTAGAAGCCATGCCAAGTTCACTTCATTTTGTTTTTCCACTTGCTCATGGCATAGATTCAAACCACTTTAAGGGGTGCACTGCACACACAAAAAAAGAAGCTTACGGCTCTTTGAGGGCTGATTAACTAAAATAACTTCTCCTACTTCTTTCAAAGTAGGTCAAAAAATTGTAGAATTATATAATTTTATCTTTTTTTTGATTGAGTAGACCAGAGAGATCTCTTTTTTACAGACCTTTCATTTTATAAATTGGGAAATTGAGTCTTCCTTTGTGAATGGTAGACTCAGAGTCACAACTCCAGTCTCTCAAGGGAATGTCAGTGATGTTCAGTGCTCTTTCTGTAGCAACCACCCCCTCTGGAAGCGACTCAGTGATTTTCCAGGTAATTTTTGCATATTTTTGTGATGGTGGTGATAGTGATGGTGGTGGTGGTGGTGGCGGTGGTGGTGGTGTGTGTGTGTTTAGGATCCTGTTTGATTACCAAAAAATAAGGGGTGGTAAAGTGTAAATTAAAAGATTTCTATTTTCTTCTTGACTTTATAGATAGATATATGATAGATAAATGATAGACAGACATAGATAGATAGATAGATAGATAGATAGATAGATAGATAGATAGATAGATAGATAGATAGATAGCTATAGATACCAGGTCATTGCTGCTGTATTGAGACAATGTTTGTGCTGGTGTGTGTGTGTGTGTGTGTGTGTGTGTGAAGTGTACTTAATGTAGCTAGAAGCAAGATTGTATGTGGCGCATCTGAAAGTTGCACTGATGGGAGCTTCTGGGAACTACAGTGTGGCCAAGAGAAAGAACAGGTCTCAACCAGAGGAAGCAGGTGGAAAGTGGGAGGGGTCTGCGCGCTCAGAGAGTTGCAGGCGCCTCCACTGGGAGGGGCGGGGCTGTCACTGGCTCGGAGTCCTAGGAGTCCGGAGCAGCCCTGAGAACTTGGCCCTGCGCAGTGCCTGGTCCCCCCCGCACTCCTCTGGGAACCTCAGGAAAAGGAAGATCTTTGGTCATGGGTGAGTGCAGGGGCGGGAGCGGGACCAGTTCCCCCCCTCCCCGTCCCCCCATGCTGAGGTGTGGTAGAAACGCTTGAAATCCTCAGGTGCATCCTCCACCCCGTCCTGCCTTTCCCCCTCCAGGAGCAGCTGAGAGTCTGTCTGGTCTCTGACTTTTCCTGCATCCAGAAAGCGAGGGCAGGGGCCAGGCAATCTCCCGTGGGCCAGGGGGGTTGCCTGAGGGGGTCCCGAATCCCGTGCGGGCGTCGGCGGTCCAGGAGTCTAAAGACAAGAACGGGAGGGCGAGTTCCGGGGAGATGGGCGATCGCGTCCCCATGCGTTCAGTGCGGGGTTCTGGCAAGTGGAGAAAGGGGGACAAGCAATCGCAACTTTGGTTTAAAAAAAAAAAAAAAACCCGCAAACTTCCAGTTCGCACAGGTTTGGGGTAGAGGAAGGCGCTGGGGCGGAGCGAACTTGGGGGACAATTCCTAGAGCTGGTGTACCCCGAATGCCTATTGGCACAGGGGGTTTTGAAGCTTGAAGCTGAAGGCTGATTCTTCCTAGATTTGAATTGGGTAAACACGCACACACACACACACGCACACACTCACACACGCGCGCGCACACTCACACACGCGCGCACACTCACACACGCGCGCGCACACTCACACACGCGCGCACACTCACACACGCGCGCGCACACTCACTCACGCGCGCGCACACGCACACACACATACACGCATATACACGCGCGCACACACACGCACACACGCATACACACACACACACGGTGTGAAGGGACCTTGGCAGGGGTACTGAGGTCCGGATTTTCTGCAGGGTCCGTGGTCGTTTAGCGGCGGCGCCTGGAAACGTCCCAGGAAAGCGGGTGTGTGTGTGTGTGTGTGTGTGTGTGTGTGTGTGTGTGATCACGGTAGGTGTGGAAAATTAGGTGTGGACGGTGGAAATCCAAAGCCGGCAGGAAAGACTGGCGATCTGGTGTGAAAAGTTGGCACAGCGCTGCGGGGAGCGATGTACCACGCTTGGGATTCCTTTTATTTTGTGTTTTGGGTTTGGTGTTTGTCCAGCGAACGAGTAAAGTAACAGCGCGGTAACGCTGCGTTTCCACGGAGACTGATTAGTGACCCGCCCGCCGCGGGGGGTTTACTATTCACCCGCCAGACGACTCGCCCCTTCCGGTCCAAGGCCCCGCGCGCCCCTCCCCCGCCGTCCCTTGTCCTTTGTTGTCAGGGATTTCATCCAGAGTAAAGAGGCCTTGGGGACGGACGTGCCCGGTTGAAATTCCAACATTCCCACAGACTCCAAGGGTTAGGGAGATGCCTGGACTACTAATCGGTGGCGTTTAGAGACAGTGCCAATTTAGAAGAAAGGAAAAAAAGAAAGAGAAAGAGAGAGAAGGCTGGGGACTTTTTTTTTTTTTGCCTATGAATGTTAACTGTGATCAAGACATTTATATTTTCTTCTTCCTTGGCCCTGGGAGAGTCTTAGGAAAGATTCCTCCCCCCCACCCCCCACCACCTTTTTAGGGGCCTTTGAATAAAATTGCATTGGAAATGATCTCTAGAATGGATTGTCTTGGAATGTTTTCTGACAGGGGAGTGATATTATCGGGTTAGAAAAGCAAAAGCAAACAGTTTTCAAAGGTTGAAAGAATAAACTTCAATTTCTCATCCCCCGCCCCCTTTTTTTCTCTTTCTTTATTGTATTATATATGGTTATATCAACACTTGCTAGAATGACACCTGAAGAATGACAGTTTTCAGAATGAGAAAGCCAAAATAATTACTTTATAATATGACTTTATCCTTATCTAAGCATTGAAATGCTATTTGGATCTAACGTAATGAAGTGCTTCAAACACCAATTGTCCTTAAAAACTTAAACTTGAGTGGACTAGCTACAATTTTGAGGTTCATTGGTCCTCTCATTTGCATTTCTAAACTGTAACGAAGAGTTAGTTGTTCCTGAATTTTACCTCAGTGTTCTTGAATGAGTTACCCATCCTAAATTATAGACAGGGTGTGGAGTTAACAACTGAGTTGGTAAAATAATCTGGAGTTAAAATAATCTTCTTTCTATAATCTAAGAGAATCTGAAACTTGTCCATTCTTTCTTCTGCCATGAATGGATTACATTTTTTTTCCTACTGTACTTAAAGTCTCCAACAACTCAATTACCTAGTGGGAAGCAGTTACCTAGTAGGAGACAGTGAATAGAGGAATAAATAAAAAACAAAAACAAAAACAAAAAAAACACAGGCTATAACTGTAACCACTCTGTACATCACCTTTACGATAAAATTTTAAAAAGATAACAGGACTGGGAATGTGGTTTAGTGGTAGAGTGCTTGCCCTGCATTCATGAAACCCTGGGTTCGATTTGTCAGTACCACATAAACAGAAAAAGCTGGAAGTGGTGCTGTGGCTCAAGTGGTAGAGTGCTAGCCTTGAGCAAAAGAAGCTCAGTGACAGTGCCAGGCCCTGACTTCAAGCCCCAGGACTGGCAAAAAAACCCAAAAAAACCACAGAGGCCAGAAAGTTTGTGTGTGTGTGTGTGTGTGTGTGTGTGTGTGTGTGTGTGTTGTTTTTAAAGGAAAAATACTAACAGTAAAGAGTGACAGTGTGCAGCCAGGAAGCAGGGCAGAAATAGAGAAGCAGTTCAGAACAGAAGTAGAGATACTATATAGATGGTAAGTGAGTGGAGGATGAAGGAAAGCAGGGGAAATATTTCCAGAAGATAGAAAATATTGGTCATTAAGGTCATATTTCTCTTCTTCTTTTTAATTACTTGTGAAAAATAACTACATGATGTAGTGTAATTTTTAGTAGTGGTTGTAGCAATTAAAAATTTGGGTATAGGTTGCTAGGATAAGAATGCAAGCAGTTTAGGATTAAGGTGAACTGAGCCAACAAGCTGGATGCATTTTTCCCTGGGTATCATGATGACTAAAAAAACGATCATTTAAAGGAGAGAAAAAGGTAATAAGGGCTGCCTGTAGCATTTAATCAATCTTGTTTGTTTCAGCAGTCCTTATTCTAGCATTGTGGAAGCAGGAGAGTAATTGGCTAATCAAATATTCTGAATTATTATCATATATATTATGCACAAGGCTAATTCTTTAAAATAAAGTTATTTGCAAAATGGGCAAGTTGGGATTTGGACACCTCTTACTTTTTCCTTTAGATTCCATTCCTTTCTTGGATGATGCCCTTGACCTGTGTACATAGGCAGGGTTTTCCTTTGCTCCAAAATTCTCCTCTCAAGAAAGATTCAAAAAGTATTGCACACTAAAAATGAGTATTTACATTTTGCCTCAAGGTTGATGTTAACCAGCAAGTTCTCAGTTGTGGAATTTCAGGGTTCAGTGGAAAGGTAATGGTCAGGAGTATTTGAATTTTGTTTCCTAACCATAGTAGCACTATTAACATTTGCCCTGCTTAAAAATAATGTTGCATATGATTTAGTTTGATAGATATTATTACAGAACTTTAATAAAAAGTGGTACTGAACTTGATTTGGAAGGATATGAAGAGTTGCAAGGGAAGAGATGCTCTAGATAGATTCTTCAAATCAAGAGGAGGTAAGTTCTGGGGAGCAGGGTGTATGGGTGGATTTTGAGTTTAGGAGGCTTTCCAAGGCAGCCTGAAGAACTTGGTGTTTACATAGAAATAGAGAGTATACAAAGTGGTGTGATTAATGTGGAGGATAAAGGACCCTGATGTTAAGGAATAGGGTTAACCTGGAATGATAGAGTATGTGTTGAGGCCAGTGGGGGTAATAAATATGCAGCGCAGAGAACTGAGGGGAAAATATGCTCTGGAAAGCTGAGACTTAAGGAAGAGGATGGATGAAATCCATTCTCTGGAGATTACTATTAAAAACTTAGTCGGTTTCTGTTAATGTTCTTAAATATGAACCGGATGATTTGTTTTCTGGATATTTTAGACAGTTGATTCATTTTATTTTTGAAGTATCAGTTAGGAACTTATGGTTAGAGGTCTAAACAAAAAGGTTTATTATGTTGGAGATGCATTTTAAAATACACTTAAATAGGGCACAGGAATAAGAAGGAAAACAAAGATTGGAAAGTTGCCAATCTTTAGGGTAAGTAAACCCATGTGATTATTTGCCAATTTGAAATTAAGAGTACAAGAAATACTGGATGAGGGAAAATGAAAGAAACCACTTACTGTGTTTGGAAGACAAGAACACCAACTGCACAATAGGTACTAAGTGATCTATAACTAGAATGGTGGGATGTAACTTTTGCTTTGTTTGGAGGCAGAGCTCACTACATAGCATAGGCTGGCCTGTTACACTCCATCCTCATCCTCCTGATGGTGGGTACCATCACAAATGGCCGAGATGTGACAGATTAAACATGCAGAGTTAGGTTTTAGGATTCCATATGTTTTGAGGAAAGAAAAAAAAGTCGGAATGAATGGCTGTCACTAAATTTCAGTAACATGGAGTAGATTGAGAATCTATTAAATTGTTTATAAGTTCACGCAAAAAGTACAGATATACAACCTTGTATCGAGCTCATACTTTTGTTTTAGTAAAGACATGATGTCCTAGAAGTAATTATGAACAAAGGGCAAAGAAACATTTTGTAAAGTTGGAGGGGCGAAGATAGATAATTTCTTATGTTTTGCGGTGAGTCCTGTAAAATGTTAAGATCTTGTTTCTCTTTAGTTTGATGGGGGTATATAAATTTATGGAATGTAGATTTAGATTCAGTACTATTCAGAAGAACAACATGTAGAAAGATAAGGTTGAAACAAAAAAAGAAAGATAAGGTATCTTCCTTGAGAAAATTAAGATTTTTATCATTTTAAACTACTTGGTAATACTTTAGAAGGATCATTTGTATGTTAGATTTATGTATAAGGATATGATAATATTGTGAATCAGAATTAAAAATGAATGGTTATCTGTCACAGCATAAATAATTATCTACAAATAATTAGATTAAAATAATTAATCATCTCACAGAATTCTGT